AACCCAGCTGCTTGGATTATTTGTACAGCATACAGGTGAATAAGTATGGTGAAATAATACAACCCTGTCGCACAGTTTTATTAATTTTAAACCATTCAGTGTTCCCATGATCTGTTCGAACAACTGCCTCTTGGTCCATGTACAGACTCCTCATGAGCACAATCAAGTGTTCAGGAATACTCATACTTTACAATGTTGTCCATAGCTTGTCATGATCCACACAATCAAAAGCCTTGGCGTAGTCATAAATAGTAATAATAACAAATAATAAAATAAGATATATGTATATATATCTTAGTTAATAACCTGGAATGTTTACTCACTCTAAAAATGAAAAAGAAACTATAAAATGCTTTCTAATACTGGCACTCTGCTTGACATTTTAATTATGTTATGTTAGGTCATTTCACTATGTGGTTCAAAAGACACGAATTTGATCAATGGTGTTAAGTGACCTGGGTTAAAAAGTTATTCACAGAATATTCTGATGATAGTTAATATTGTGACATGTTAATCCAAATATAATAGGAGTATTATTTAACAAAACTCACCCTCCTGTGCCAATGGATCTCTTTTGATGGTTTTTGGAATCATAATAGCGGTGTAGGATCATAGCACTTCTGCTTTTCAAATAATCAGTCTCCATTTCAATATAGTTCTCCAAATAGGAAATGAAAATGGATTTGATAAGCTTAGACAAGAAAGTCTGTTTATCAGTACCTAAGTTAAACTCCATCAACTTGCTGGAGAGATTGGTGGTTCTTTTCATGGAAAAGGGGAGGGAAAAAAAGATTAATGTATATTTTAGGTATAATAACAATACTAAGGGATATGTATTTTTACAGTGTAACTTTAATATTTTATGTTAAACTACCAGCTCTTAAAAACTACGGAATTTTCCTCAAAATTTTTATTTCCCATTGTTGAAAATATGGTCACAAGAGTTTTGTTGTTGACATAAACTTCCTGATAATGGTTACTTTTGAAAAACCTCCTCCCAAAATAATGACACTGAGTAATAGCAATATGGTTGGAAAAAATAAAGGTTAAGAAAACAAAATCTTCCAAATAAAGTATTTATCTGTAGGAGTAGCTCTGCTATTCACAAAACACAAGACAAATTCTCACGGCAGATCCACGTCCGGAATTGCTGCATTTGTTATTTCCTATGACAATTTACTGAAGTGTTAGCATCATGTAAGTGTGATTGGATCCTAGTGTGGCACTATAGGATAAGCACTGAACTGCTAACCATGAGGTTAGCACTTGAAATCCACCAGCCACTCTTTGGAAATCCACTATAGGTCAGAACTGATTTGACGGCATTTATCAAAGTGTGATTTCATATTAAGAAAAAAAAGTTACAGACCAGTAAAATAGCTTTAGTTTCTATTTAAAACCAGAAACGGAAGTCTTCAATATTCTTTTAAATAAGACAACATAGTTTCATGTTCCATAACATAAAGTAAAATATCAAACTCTTCAATGTTCTAAGCATGTATTACAACACAAGTCTATAAAGTCAGCCATTTTTCAATGCTAAAAAGTATACTGCTATCTGACAAGCAGTTACTAAAAAATATCTGGATATGTTCCTATTTTTCATTTTCTAAGTCCTGGTGTGGCATTGTTGGATAAGCATTGGATTACAAACTGAAAGGTCAGCAGTTCAAATCCACCAGGCACTCCTCAGAAAAACTATGCAAGATCATTTTGAGTTTTCTTTCATTATTAGACTACCCCGATTTTCATTCTCTTGCCTTCTTTCACTCAAACTGGAATGCATTTCTTTAACTCAGGTATGTGGGCACATTGCCACAGAGGGGTTCTGCTGAGGGAGGTCTTCTTACTAAAATGGTAGAGCTTTGGTGTTTAAGTTGCAGACAGGTAAACTCATTTAAGTTCCCTTCTTCATATTTTTATTATTTCAGCTACAAGGAAATGCCACCTAGCTACTGTTTTCCTATTATGATTTAAATTCCTAGATATCCATCTTGCTTATCCCCTGCACTTTGCAAAGGAAAGGGATTGATAGTAGTATTGGAGCCCTGGAGTCCTGGTGTGGCACTGTAGGATAAGTACTGGACTGCTAACCAAAAGGACGGTCGTTCAAGCCACCAGCAGCTCCTTGAAAACTTTATACAGGGTCATTGCAAGCTGGACTCACAGCACCTAATAACACCATCTACATGGGAGCCCTAGTGGTGCTGTGAGGTAACCCCTGGACCACGAGTCACAAATCCCACTCTTACTCCACAGGAGAAAGATGAGGCTGCCTGCTTGTGTAAAGATTTAGTCTCAAAAATTCTATATAGGGTCATTATTTATGAGTCGGAAATACTCAATAGCAGTGGGTTTGATTTTGGGTTTTATGGGAATTGAAAGAAACCCTGGTAGTGCAATGGTTAAGGCACTCAAATGGTATAGAAGAGTTGACAATTTGAACCCACCAGCTGTTCCATGGGAGAAATATATGGCCGTTTGCTTCCATATTTACAGTCTTGGAAACATTATGGGACAGTTCTGTTCTCATAGGTGCACTTGACTACAGTGGGTTTTGGTTTATGGGCATTGAAAAGAGCCCTAGCAGTGCAGTGGTTAAAGCACTCAGCAGGTAACTGAAATGCTGAGGATCTGAACCCACCAACTGTTCCATAGGAAAAAAGCTGTGCCAGTCGGCTTCCATAAATATGACAGTGTTGGAAACACTATGGGCAGTTTTACTCTGTCCTATCAGTTCACTGTGAGTCAGAGCTCACTCAACGGCAAATCAGTTTTATAGGCACTAAAGGAAAAAGCTCAATGAAAGAATAGCAAGTTTTCCAATCTGTTCTTTCCAAGAGCTTTAGGGGCTTAAGAGGATTAGATACTATATCTGTCAAGTTGCCACAGAATTCGTCAAAAATCTCCATCATGGCTACACTTTATGCAATGAAACTTATATTATGTGTAAGCTCGTAACATTTTTTAATTCTTTTTATCAAAAGTTAAAGGAGTAATAAAGTTGATGACTATTTAATACGACTAATAAAAAAGATATTATGAGTTGGAACCAACTCGATGGCACTTAGCAATAACTAAAACAGGACCTATTATTTTTTAATAATTAAAAATATACCTTGTATATAGATCATAGAGGTTTTTGAGATACTGCTCTGCATCACATTTTCTACATTCTTCTAACTGGTCTTTTACAAAACTCTAAAAAAAAAAAAATTCTGTTAATTTAAAATACATTACATTCTATATAACTTCTCAAGGTACTTGTTTCCTCAAAAATCACTCTACCTTCTTGACCTGTTCTGATTTAAAATGAAATTAAAAAGGAAACACAAAGATCAAATATAAAAAGAAAACAAGCTTTTATTTCTACTGCTTCCCACATTTAACTCTAAGATATCTTTATCAGTCTTGATAATATACAAAAAAAAATTTAAAGTACCTTTTCTTTGGAAACCATCTCATGAGGTACATCAATAAAAACTGAGGCTACTCCTACACACAATTCCTCAGAGAAGCATTCCCCAAACTATCTGGTTAATGATATTGCCTTTTAGTATATTAATAGGCATTGCTCTCAAACAAGGGTTCCCTGATTGGTAAATGTTTTCCACTCTCACTTCTAGAGAATTAGAATACATATTAGTACCCTACAAGATGATCTGAAATCTAGAACAGTGTTTCAGAAACAACTATTTGATGTTGCTGTGGCTCTAGAGGATACGCACTGGACTGTGAACGACAAGATGGGTGGGTTGAGTCCACCAGACACTTTGTGGGGGAAAAAGGAGACTTTCTAATCCCACATAAAGATTTACAGGCTCAGAAATACCACACAGGGTCGCTGTAAGTTGGAATTGACTCTATAGCACTTAACAACAACAATCGAATTTAGAAAATGCTGCTTAATGTATAGTACGGAAAGAATCAAGGCTGCAAATTATATACCTGTTTTGGCTTTTCTCTTTTCATGTTAGTACCATATTGTAAAAAATTCTAAAGACCACACTTGTAAGTCTTGTTGAATTTCACAAGTGCCACCTATTAGTCATGGTAAGGGCCAAAAACAAAAACCTAAGCTGACCCTACTGTTATCTAATACTACTTCACAACAATTAAAACACAAATTTCAAATACATGCTCTGAAACCACTTAGTGATTATCCTCTTAACTGTATAAATAAGATTACTATTCCTAAAGTCAAACATTCAGTAAACAACTTAAAAAACCAACAGTGTCCTAACAGCTACTTAATTTGTCATTGTTTAAAATTACCTGTAGTTTGATTTCAAATACATTTTGAATAAGTTTAGCCAGTACTGTTTCTGGATTACTAAAGATATCTCCAACTTGTTTGTTCACCCTCTGACAGAGTATTGCTGCATCTTCAAATATGTCGTTTCTCAAGTAAGCACCCTAGAGAGGACAGGCATTTTATACATTAGTTTTATAATGACTTTAAAAAAGTAAATGAGCATTAAGTAAAATTCAGTAAAGTCTGCTATTGTTACCTCCTGGCACTGCTTTATATAAACATCAACACAATGGGAATAACCCTACAAAAAGGAAAGAAACACATTGTTAAAACTGTTCAGGTCAAATATTAATAATAATCTCAATACAAAGTAGTAGTATATGTAATAAAATTAGGCCCGTGTCTCAGTGAATAGCCAACTGTAGTAGTTGAACATAAATAAAATTGTGGTAGATCAATAACCTAACATAGGATTTTTTTTCTCTGCTATTCATAAGGTTTTCAGTGATGAAATATTTGGAAGTAGTTCATCACTCCTTCTTCCTAGTCTGTCTTTGTCTGTAAGCTCATTTGAAACCTGTCCACCATGAGTGACCCAGCTTGGTATTTAAATTATCCTTAGCATAGCTTCCAGAATCACAGCAACTCACAATCCACCACAGCACAACAAACTGACAGATGAGTGGTGGAAAACCTTATGAGTAGCAGAGAAACACTGTCAGATATAGTGCCGGAAATGAGCCCCTCAGGTTGGAAGGCACTCAAAATGCGAAGCGTGGCAACAATTGTGAGGTTGGCCCAGGACCGGGCACTGTTTTGTTTTGTTGTGCACAGGGTCGTTATGAGTCAGTACCGACTCAATGGCACCTAACAACAACAACACAGGGTTTATATGATGAAATTTTTAGTTGGTTCTTATCCTTGTTGGATTTTAGACTCAATCAGGAAAATTGAGATCTAGTTAAGTTCTTTATAGTAACTTTTGTCCTGTGATCTCCTAGGATTAACTCCAAAACCCACATGCACACACAGATTCAAAGTCTTAAGGAAAGGTGTATGTGAATATATTTCCTGTTTTACTCTCTTGAAGTCAAAGCTTTTGTCTTCTCTGGCAAGAATCCGGACAGAGCTGTATTTTAAGCTTTCCATCAGGCAATCTGGAAATTTACTTGTAAAACTAAATTTATTTTAACAAAATATACTTGTCACAAATAATTTATAACATTTGTAACAGTAATGAAATTTTTGCCATAATAGGCAAAATCAGATATAAAAACAAAGTAAGCAATATGAAGTACTCTGTGCTCTCAAAGGCTATTCTAACTATTCATTTGGATACGTTACTTAAATGAAAAGTCCAATACGGTGCTTCCATTTCTCTAATCTAACTGCTTCCATTTTCTAATAAAAATATGAAGAAACAGACTAAAAGAAATATAATTTCTTCAGGCAGTGCTTTGCAGAAATAAACTGCCACACAGGGATACTTGCCCTAATTTAAATTCCAGGAAGATAGTACCACAATCATACTGTCAAAAATCTACCTGAGATTGACTGAATTTAAAGTATTTGGTCATATTTCATCTATATAGGTGGTTCCTATAATCCAAATATTCAAAGGCTTAAGTTTTCTTACTTTTATTCTACTTCTAACATGTTTGACTGAAAAAGCTATATTAACAAACAAAAAGGCAAACATGATTTTTAAAAAAAAGCTACATAAACATTCATTAGTTAAATATTAATTGAATATACTTATTTAAATAAATATCAAATACCTAACACTTAAGATGATTTATTAAAGAGAAATAAATAACGTAAGGGAGCACGGTGGCACCATACAGTAAGTTCTGGACTGTAAACCAGAGGTCTGTGGTTCAAGCCTACCAACTGCTCGGTGGGAGAAAAATGAGACTCTCAGCTTCTGAGAAGATTTACAGCCTCAGAAACCCAATACAGGGGAAAATCAGACTATAATAGACAGAATTTATATAATCTTCTGTCTTAAAGACTGGTCTTCACTTTTAATTTTTACCTTAAAATGAAGTAAAACTGCTGCTACTTCTCTCATCCTGGAGATCTCACCTCTTCTTTGAGCACTGGTGAACTCCTGAATCAACTGGCATTCTAAATCATGGTACTTACCTAAAGGAAAAAGGAAGTCATTTGGCTACAACAAGGCAGACAATATACTCAAGTTATTTACAAGTATCTAAGTTGTTTACAAATACAATGACTAAAATTTTTTTAGAGTGGGGATAAGCATTGAATTGCTATCCACGAGCCTGCAGTTTGAGCCCACCAGTCACTCTACAGGAGAAAGCTAAGGTTTTCTTTTCCCGTAGAGATTTACAGCCTCGGAAACCCTATACACGACTGCTATGAGTTAGAACTGTCTCAAGGGGCACTTAACAACAACAGAATGACTATGGAACTATTTTCTGTAATTCTTCTTTGGAAAGAATTATAAAACAATAGGAGACTACAGGTACTGAATCTTATTTCTTAATATATAAATCTCTGTTTTCAAAGTACAAAAATCTTCTAAACTGGTAAAACAGTTGGGTTCTCCCATAATTTAACTCCCAAATGTCATTTCTGAAAGCAACAGACTGAAAAACTCTTAACCCTGAAGCCATGAAAAGAGTAAAGACTATGGAATTCTTTGTTAGAGTTCAAAACCCCTACAAGGTTAGACTGAAGCATCAAATTTCATCTTAAAATAATTGACAGGATTTAAGTAATGGTATTCTTGAATCTATTAATAGGTTCTGAATGAGAACTGTAACAAATTCATGGTAATCAACACCATTTAAAGAAGTCCAACTAAGTTATCCTTGTTCCTAGACCTTTTGGGATACAGGAGTGTCTCTGACTGCATAATGGTTATGAGTCGGGCTATGAACCTCAAGATCAGCAGTTCGAAACTACCAACCATTCCTCGGAAGAAAGATAGGGCTTTCTGCTCCTGTAAGATTTACAGCCTCAGAAACCTTATGCAGTGAGTTGGAACCCAATCCACAGCACATTACCACCACCACTATGAATTTTCTATGTAAGAGCCTCCAAAACAGTTGCACAGGAGGCAAAGATAGTGGTCTTTCCAGGAACCTAGAATGATTTAGCCTAAAATCTTATCTGACGACTAGCAAAAAAAAAAAAAAAAAACAAGCTAGTCATGTAAGAAGCTAACAGGTACTGAATTGCTCTATGAGGGGAACTGAAAAGGTTTGTAGAAAAATTACATGTTTTCATTCAATTTTTTCACATCTTTGAAGCCTCCCCCCACCCTATAAGCTGAGATTCAAAAAGAGAACAGCAGATATACAACATAAGACAAATTGTTAAATTAAAAAAAAAAAGGTGTCATGCTATTTATATAATATGCCAACAATTATTATTAAATAAATTGCTGCTGTTGTTAGGTGCTGCAGTCATTTCCAACTCACAGCAACCCCTATGCATAACAAAACGAAAAACTAACTGATCCCACAGCATCCTTAAAATGATTGTTCTGTTTGAGGTCTCTGCTGCTGCCACTGTGTCCATCCATCCCCCCCCGGGATCCTCCTCTCTTCTACTGACCTTCTACCAATCATGATGTCCTTCTCCAGGGACGTGTCTCTCCTAATAACATGTTCAAAGTATGGAGACCTGGTGTGGTGCTGAAGGGTAAGCACTCCACCACAGGATTTGTATGAACCTCAAGGTTGGTGGTTCAAACTCAACAGCCACTCCTCAAAAACCCCCCATACAGGGTCACTATGAGTTGGGACTGACTAGATAAAAGGCACTTACAACAACAAGAGACAAAGTCTCATCATCCTGGCTTCTCAGGAACATTCTGGCTATATTTCTTCCAGCACAGATTTGTTTGTTCTTTCTTGATCATCTCCAACTCCATAATTCAAATGTATCATTTTTTCTAGTCTTCCTTATTCATTGTTGAACCTTTGCAAGCATCTGAGGCAAATGAAATTACCATGCCTTGGATCACACACACCTTAATCCTCAAACTGATATCTTTTCTTTTTTTTTAAAGAGGTCTTGTGCTGCAGATTTACCTGATGCAATAAATAAATCATATGATTTCCTGACTGCTGCTTCCATGAGTGTTGATAGTGGATTCAAGCAAAATGAAGTTTTTGACAACTTTAATCTTTTCTCAATCTATCATGATGTAATTTACTGGTCCAACTGTGAGAATTTTTGTTTTTTTTTTTTACACTGAGGTACAATCCATACAAAGGGGTATAGTCTTTGATCGTCACCAGTATTTTAAGTTCTCTTTGCTTCCAGCAAACACAGTTGTATTATCAACATATTGCCGGTTGTTAATGAAATCTTCCTCCAATCCTGATGCCACTGCTCTTCGTATAATTCAGCTTCTCAGACTCTTTGCTCAAAATATAGATTGAATGAGTATGGTTAAAGGATACAACTCTGGCATACGCTGCTCCTGATTTTAAACCATGCAGTATCTCCTAATTCCCTCTGAGCAACTGCCTTTTCTATAAGTTTCCTTATGTACAAGTTCCTTATGAGCACAATTAAGTGTTCTGGAATACTCATTCTTCACAATGTTATCCATAGTTGGCCATGATGCACATAGCATAACCCTTTGCATGGGCTAAAGCACAAGTAAACAGCTTTCTGATATTCTCTGATTATAGTCAAGATCAATGTGATATCAGCAATGATATCCCTTGTTTCAAGTACTCTTTCTGAATATAGCTTGAATTTCTAGAAGTTCTATTTACTTTGCAACTGTTTTTGAAATATCTTAAGCAAAATTTTACTTGCATGTGATATTAATGATATATTTAAGGAATATCCACATTCTATTGGGTCACCTCTTTTTGGAATGGATACAAACAAATATGGATCTCTTCCGAACAGTTGGCCAGGTAGCTTTCTTCCAAATTTCCTGGCATACATGAGTGCTTCCAGTACTGCATCAGTTCGTTGAAAAATTTCAACTTTTATTTTGCCAATTTCTAGAGCCTTGTTTTTTGCCAATGTCTTCAGTGTTGCTTGGATTTGGTTGAACATTGACTATTTCTTTTTGGTATGATAACTGTGTATTCTTTCCTTATTCTTTTGATGCTTTCTGCTTCATTCAATATTTTGCCCATTGTTGATTTTGTTAAGTGCTGTCAAGTTGGTTCTGGCTCATACCAACCCTGTATAGGATTTCTGAAGACCATCTGGTGGGTCTGAACTGCTAACCTTATGGTTCAAAGTCAGTGTTGATCCTTAAGCAGCACATCAGGAGTCCATTTTGCCCTAAGAATCCTTTTTGGTCTTCTGTAGCTGCCCTTTGTAATTTTCTGTTCAGCTCTTTACTGCCTCATTCCCTTCTATTTGTTTTAGCTTCTCTATGGTCAAAAGCAAGTTTCAGAGTCTTTTCTGACATCCATTTTGGTCTTTTCTGTCTTTCCTGTCCTTTTAATAACCATCTGCTTTCTTCCTGTATGAGTTTTTTGATGTCACCCTCACAACTCTTCTGGTCTTCTGCTGATCATGAGTGTCTAATACAACAAATCTGTTCTGGATATGATTTCTAAATTCAGGTGACATATATTCGAGGCCATTTTTTTGGCTCTCCTGAACTTGTATATGAACACTTGATGGTATGTTCCACAGCCTGCCCTTGACCTAGTGCTGGCTGATGATATTGAGCTTTTCCATTATCTCTTCCCACAGAGGCAGTCAATTTGATTCCTCATCTGGTGAGGTACAGGTATATAGTTGCTCTTTATGTTTTTTAAAAATGTATTTGCAATGAATAAGTCATTGGTCCTACAAAACTCTATCATGCTACCTCCAGCATAGTTTCTACCACCAAGGCCATTTCAAAATAGTGGTCCTTCCTCTTTGTTTCCAACTTTGGCATTCCAATAACCAGTAATTATCAACGCATCTTGATTGCATGTTAGATAAATTTCAGACTGAAGAAGTTCGTTGGGTTAGTTAAGTACCGTGGAGTCAGTTCTGACTTATAACAACCCTGCACAGGGTTTCTGAGGCTGTAAATCTTTACAGAGGCAAAAAGCCTCATCTTTCTCCCGCAGAACAGCTGGTAGTTTCAAACTGCCAACCTTGAGGTTAGCAGCCCAATTTGTAATCACTACGCTACCAGAGCTCCTTGAAGAAGTTGGCAGAATTCTTCCATTTCTTTATCACTGGCTTTGGCAGTTGGTACATAAACTTGAATAGATATATAAATGGATCTTCCTTGTAGACATATGATATTACCCTTTCAAGACAGCACTGATCTTGAAATGCTCATTTTGATGATGAATACATAGTAAACCTTAAGACTATCTGATTCAAATGGCCAGTATCAGTCCATTTCAGCTCACTAATGCCTAGGATAGCTATCATTATGTCTAGGACATCAATCTATTTAATTTTTCACAACTTCCAATATAACTACTTTGTACATTTCATGTTCTGATTATTAATGGGTGTTTGCCGCTATTTCTCCTCATTCTGAGTTGTGTCCCATCAGCAAATGAACACCCCACAAAGCTTTATCCCAGTAACATCATTATGTTCAATTTTACTTTTGAGGAGACAGCTTTTCCAAGTCATTTTCTGAGAGCCTTTCAACTTGAGGGGCTTATCTTCTGGAACTCTATCTGACAACATTCTGCTGCTATTCATAGTATTTTCTAGCACTATATCTGACAATGTTCCACTGCTATTCAAAAGGTTTTTAGTGGCTAGCCATTAAGCCCACCTCTCCTTCTTCCTAGTTTGTATTAGTTTGGATGCTCTGCTGAATCTTGTCCACTGTGGGTGATCCTGCTGGTATTTAAAATATTTGTGGCATAATGTCCAGCATCGCAGCAACACATAAGCCATCCACAGTAAGACAAACTAACAGACGAGTGGTGTAAGGATACATACACACACGTTTATAGAAAAATGGAGTTGAAAGATAATGGAATTTTTCAATGAACTTTCTGAAGCCCCTTCATATGTAGTATTAGGGAGGGGAATCAAATTCAGACATGCAGTCAGGGAATGACAGTGTTCCCATTATCTCTCTCTCTTTTTTTTTTTTTTACAATTTCTTTTATTTTTTTACACAAGTATACTTATTATCTATTCAAATAAATTAAAACAAATAGAACTTCACATACTTGCAATTTTGGATTTTACTTCTGAAAATCTGAAAGATAAAAAAAATCAATAATGAAATCAGTAAGTTGTGAAAGTGGCACCACTACAACCCAAGACATTAGCAAAAGGGGAAATCTGCTCACAGGATGCAGGAAGTACAGGAACTCGCCAAACTACGTTTGCAACTTTTCTGTAAGTCTAAAACTGTATTATACAAGCTAAAAAGGTTCTTTTTGAAAAAAGTAAGAAAAGAACTAAAACAATGGAGTGAGTACTGACAGAAAGCATACCAGGTAAAAACATGTGATTGTGGATAATTGAGAGAAGTTGGGTTTCATTTAGGAAATTCAGATTGAATAACCAATTCTCTTGTTAAAGAAAGAGATATAATTTGAGTAGTTCTGCATGAAGCACCTAACATCTCGGCCAGTCCCAGTGCACGTTCAACTGGCATTTCAAATTCACTTGATATCTCTGCTTCTACTCTCCCTAGGGGTTTTAAAAAATAAAGTTCCACTACTATTATTTAAAAGAAAAACAACCTTACAGTAAGTACACGTAAGTTAATTATTCTAAAAGTAGAAAAATAAAAGAAGAGGTCGTAAAAACAGCACAGTAATCTTTATAAACTCAACAACTAAAAAACAAGCCTACATAGACCAGAACTTTTCCAAATCTCAAAGATGAAAAACATATGATGAAAAATCCTATGCAATCAGTGTGAAGAAAAGAACAGACTGGCAATAGAATTGCCAAAGACATGGAGGAAGAAATAAAAACTTATTCAAAAAAGACAAAGCAAGGTCATGAAAGGGCAAAGAGTGCATACACAGCCATATTTATCTGTGTGGGGAAAAAAAATCTGGTTAACATATATATTCAACTCTAGGTCCTGTTAAGAGTTTAAACAAAGCTGTAAGAGGGTTCGGAGAAGGAGATTATGTGTGTGTTTTAGAGGGGAACAGGATGCAGAAAGAGGAGGGAGACACAGGCAACGAACCTAAGCACCTATTTTGAGTCAGACATTTTACCCATTTAAGAAAATGGTCTAAACTCTCAAATGAATTACAGTTAAAGAGAAGTTTTACAGTAGGTGACTTTTAAGAACCATTTCAATATAAATTCATAATGCTTTATAATGGTACCAAGAGTTGACAGTAAAATAGATTACAACTTTTGTACTGTACTAATATAATTTGAGAGATAGCTTCTGTATATCTACATAGGTCTGTGTTAGAAGAAGTACATCCAGAATGCTCCTTAGAAGCCAGACTTTATCTCCCATACTTCAGACATGTTATTAGGAGGGACCAGTCCCTGGAGAAGGCCATCAGTCTTGGTAAGGTGGAAAGTCAGCACAAACAAGGCAGTACCAGGCTGTGTTTCATTCTGTTGAGCATAGGGTTGCTATGAGTCGGAATTGACTTGATGATATCTAACAACATACATTCATCTGTTACTGTAGAGTTGATTCTAAACTCAAAGCAGCCCTGTAAGACAGAGCAGAGCTGCCCCATAGAATCGCCAAGGATGTAATCTTTACAGGAGCAAACGGCCACATCTTTCTCCCTTCAAGAGGCTTGTAGGCTCAAACTATCAACTCTTTCAATTAGCAGTCAAGTGCTTAACCACTCCATCACCAGGCTACTTTTAAGTATAGTAATACTGTACTACTTTCTGTCTGTAATTGAAGATCTTCGGGTATCATCAAAAGAATAATAGATATTTCTAAAGGAAAAACTATTTCTTTCATATATTCACATGAGGTATAGCAAAATTTATTTCAAATTTTTATTACAATAGCAAAATTTTGTTAAGTCTGACACATTCTCTGGACTAGAGGAACTCATGAACAATTTTCCTTCTTAGAGGACAGTTACTGTTAATACATAATTTAGCAATGGACCTGGAGCCTTATATACAAAAAATAAAGTTTCTTAATCTGAAGTCACTACGGATTGCTTTGGAGCATGAAATCTGAAGGTTTTCTGCATGTAAATGACTCAAGGCAGGCAGAGCTTAATTCTATCTTATGCCTAAATTTAAGTGTTCAATTGCCAATTTTTTCTTGAGTACCTCATGAGCCTCTGAAAGCTGAACAGCCTGAGTCAGAAGCAGAATGCACTTTAGAGTGAGTTTTGGGGCACTTCCCCCGGAGTGCTAAATTATCAGAAATTGACTTGCAGCAGCTTTGTTGTTGTAGTTGTTAAGGGCTGTTGAGTCGATTCTGACTCATAGGGACCCTGTGTAGGGTTTCTGAGGAGTGGCTGGTGGGTTTGAACTGCTGACCTTGCGGTTCACAGTCCAGTGATGTGCCAGGATTCCTGCAGTAGCTTTAATGGCTATAAAATGACTAATGGTTCTGATGTTGCAGCTTGAGCAGCTCAGAAAAACTCTGTAAATTTTCCTATGTAGTCTCCCCCTCCTTACACCTCCTAGGCCAGGCATTTGTTGGTTATACATTGTTGCTACCATTAGTCATTAGTTGTGGTTGTGGGAGGAGATTTCTTTGTTCTCTGTGCCCTATAAAAGGTCACCTCTCATAGAGGAGGAACTCTGGAATTCATCAAGCATCATCTCTGATGATTTTCCTCACCTTGGTGATCTATGTTTGTTCTGTCTTGTTTTCTGCTCCTGCTGAAGATTTACTAGAGCTTCTACAACAGAAATCCTAGTGTGGGGCTGTTGGATAAGCAATGGACTGCAAGGTCAATTTGAACTGCAAGGTCAATGGACTGCAAGGTTGGTGATTCAAACTCACCAGCCACTCCTCACAAACCCTATACAGGATCTCTATGCGCTGGAATCAAATTGATGGCACTTCCTGGTGTGGCATTGTGGGTTAATGTGCCAGACTGCAAAGCCGTTTGAACTGCAAGGTCGGTGGTTCAAGCTCACCAGCTGCTCCTCGGAAACCCTATACAGGGTGGCTATGGGTCGGAACCGACTCGACGGCACTTAACAACAACAATAATATTTATATGGGGTCTCTTTTCTCACCTAGATCAGGAAGGACTATGGATAGCTTAGCGTAGTGGTTACAAATCAGGCTGCAAACCGCAAGGTTATCAGTTTGAAACTAACAGCCGTTCAATGGGAGAAAGATGAGGCTTTCTGCTCCCATAAAGATTTACAGCCTCAGAAAGCCTATACAGGGTCACTATGAGTCAGAACCAACTCCACGGCACATAACAACAGTGTCTAAAACTTCATAGAATCATATATAAAAAATCGTTTACAAAAATTCTGAATATTTTGAATAAAGTTTGTACCTTTCATCAACTGTTCAAAGGTTTCCAAAACCCTAAAAAGCTTTAGAACCATCATCTAAACACAGGAAACAGCAGTTGAATGTCCCATTCTGTCCATGTCCACTACTGTTCTGGTTTTCAAAGTCTAAGCAATGAAATGACAAAATAAGCCTTCATCAAATCTCTTTTTCAGACCTCATAGGATTTGGTTTCTTGAGCTGGAGGTTTTAGGATCTTGGTTTCCGGGGCATCCCAGCTAATAGTAATATGTTTAGTACTTCAGAGTTCTCCCTTCTACTTTGATGCATAGTGCATGGGGCCAAGAAGAGTGAATGAGCCTGAAGTTACTGCCTCGAGGTAATTTTAAATCTTAAACTGGAAATTCAGGAGAAAGAGGAGGCTCTCTATTCCTGTAAATAGTTACAATCTCAGAAGCTCTTAAAAGGGTCGCTATGAATAGGAACTCACACTGCCATCAAACCAAAAATATCCCCTGATGTTTTTAACTAGTAAAACATTCTGCTCTTTTAAGAACTAACTGTGTGGGATGAAAAGGAGCCCTGTTCCTATTACATAGAATAGGGAAAGAAGGGGGTACTGAGCCACTCTAGGTATAGCCTGTCTCATCAGGAAACAAGCCAGCCTCAGCAGTGAAGAATTTCTGAAAAGACGGGTGGGGAGAAAGGAGACTATTTGCAAGAAGAAATGAAGTTAGTTAAGGAGTCTGGGAGAGAGAAGAAACTGCAAGAAAAATAAAGATAATTAAGAGGAGTAGGTGAGAGGGGAAACTATTATAAGGAGAAATAAAGTTAGTTAATAACAAGCTGAAACCTGAAAGACAAGACTCAAGGAAACAGAATATGGACCAATTCTCTGGATCGGCTCTTTGCACACTTGAACCAGGATAGCCTACTCCCCTGACAAAGGGATATTCAGAGAAGCAAAACTGGATTCAGGCTTCCACCTCCTCTTCTTTCGCAAGGTGGACACCCACCCCTACCTCTGCAAGGGTGCCTATCCTCTTGTCTTTCTTTCTCACCTCTTTTGCATGGGGTAAGTGTGCTACAACTTCCCAATTCTTTGGAAGGATAATAACACTATTCCAAGATTGACAATTCAACTGTGATGGCGGTGCTGTCCAGGATAAGCACTGGACTGCTAAACAAGATCTGCAGTTCAAACCCCTCAGCCATACCACACAAGAGAAAGATGAGGCTGTCTGGTTCCCTCAAGATTTACAATGTCAGAAATACTATGTAAGAGTACTACGAGTTGCAACTGACTGGATGACAGTCAAAACTGACAAGATCAACTGGAAAGATGAGATACGAAGCTCAGGGGGCAGTGATTTTATGTTAATGGGGAAGGAGAAGAAAAGGCGAGAGAGAATCGTTATAAAATTTGAAGAATGCAACCAATGTCACTAAATGGTACATGTAAAAACTGCTGAATTTGTGAATGATTTGCTGTGTATATTCTCAATAACAATAAGTGAAATTACATTTAAAAAAATCTTTTTCAGAAAACAAACAAAAGATTTAGATTATTTCATATTAAGAGTAGATTATATATCTTTTCATTCAACTATTTTATATTATACCTCATTCAATAAATTATTGATGAATTAATAGGCAAGGATAATCATACAGAGGAAGAATACGATTTTACTCTATAAATTACCCGACAGATCCAAAGTAATTCAGGAGAAGGAAACTTGCCTATCAAACGGTAGCTCCTGGGCAATTAGGTGTAACTTCTGTATGATATCTGCTGCCTCCTTTATCTATTTAAAAAAAAAAAAGAAACATTAAAAAGAACAAAAATACCATTATGCATGCCAAAAACAATCACATAGATTTGAGGTTTGTGTGTGTATGTGAAAGGGGCTTCAAAAAGTTTGTGAAAAAACAGAATTAAAAGATAATGGAATTAAAAAAAAAAAGGATAATGGAATTCTTCCCTGGTGTAGCACTATAGGATCAGCACTGAACTGCAAATCACAATGTCAGCAGTTCAAACCCACCAGCTGCTCCTTGGAAACCCTATACAGGGCCGCTATGAGTCGGAAATAACTTAAGAGCACTTCACAACAACACTATAACTGAAAATATTATATACCCTTCGGAAATAACTTAAGAGCACTTCACAACAACACTATAACTGAAAATATTATATACCCTTATGCATGCCCACAGCTCTCTCCTTAAATAATTTACTTTTAAAAATAAACATGAAAGCAAACTTGGTAAACAACATGAATACACAATAGTATCATCAATCATGAGTCAACAAAAGATACTCTTTCTGGTACTGAGACTTTTGATTTTTATGATGCCATAATTCCCTCCCAAGTAAAACCTGCAGTTCAAGTTTACTGTGAAGAAACTCATATTATTGCATTCTAAAAGCAAAAGTGCATGTCTATCGTGAGTTTACAAACCCAAAAAGAATAAACAAGATATATGGGAATGATTTGGCTCATACTGCTGCATATATCTTACTTTAAACTAAGTGAATAAAACATACCTAAAAGCATCCTTGTTATTTAATGAACATATACATTTTTAACACTTTTTCTAAAAGCAAAGATAAAATTTAATATAGTCTCCTGAAAAAAATACGGCAGGGAAGTGTGCAATTATTCAAGTTGTAGGACTAAAGAACAAAAATATTTATTCTTTCAACTAAAACCTACAAAAATTAAGAGATAGTAACACCAAGGGCTACACAATTACTTGAGGCGTATTATAATGTTTAAAGAAAAAGGCAGAGAACATAACATCACGATGCAAAACACCATAAACAATACCAATCAAGTTAAAAATAAGTTACAATCAGGGGTACTCCTGGCAAGATGGCAGACTTGGCAGACACACTATATGGACCCTCTACAACAAAGATACAAGAGACCAAATGAAAAAGACAAATGAAATTCTGAAACCCTGAACCTCAGAGAAAAGATTAGAGAAATGGACTCAATGTTTGATGGGAGAAGCTGAGCAGGTACAGCAAGAGAGGGAGACTAGCTGGTTACCAGGCGACCAGATGAAGCCCAGCCATCAAACTTTAGTGAACAGCTTTCATGACAGGTGGTGACCTGGTAGAGCAGATTCACACAGGCAACAGGAAAGGTGTTTTCCTTTTATTCCCTTTGTTCCCCTGGTGGCCAGCCCCCACCCTCATCCACAAAAAAGAGACCCTGCTCCCCAGGAGTTAGAAGCCTCGTGGTTGTGAGCCATGCCAGTGTGAGGAGGGGACTAGTTGCCCTGCTTTGATGCCTGGGTTTAGGCAGGCTCGGCTCTATGTTCTGTAGAGAACATAGAGAGGTTAATCTAACCAGATAACCAAACCAGAATTAATATAGCAGAAATCTTCATAACAAGGAATGCTGTCCTGTGGCCTGTAACAGGCACAGAAACAAGCTCCATCAAGGCCTTCAAGAACTACTCCCAGAATGAGTGCCCTGAACATAGATAACACCTGGTCTATAGGAACTTGATCTAGGGCCAGGAACTCCACTGTCACATTCCTCCTACACATACCTCATGAGCTCTTTGGTTGGCAAGAGCCTCCCGGTGTTTTCTTCTCCTCTCAGGATCTAACAGCTACCTACGGTGGCTTTTTGGTTTTGAGCAGTGTCCTTTCACTGTTTCAATAGTTTTGTTTATTCTTTCTTTTTCTCTTTCCATTCCCTTTAATTTTACCCTTTCTATCTCTACTTTTGTTTCTTCTTTTATTATTCATTTTACCTTTTTCTTTGATAGTTCTTTAATACTCTTTACTGTCTTTTTATTTACAACTTCCCTCTCCATGGTTTCTCTAAGTGTTTTTATTATTATTATCTGTTTTTTTCTTGTTTAGAGCTCCATTTTCCTGCCCCTATTTTATCTGTTTTTTTCTTGTTTAGAGCTCCATTTTCCTGCCCCTATTTTCTATTTGTAGTTATTGTATTCTTTCTTTTTTCTCCTTTGTTATTTTCTTTTTCATTGTTGGTGTTTTGCTGGCTTATTCTGTTTTATTTTCTTGTGTGTATATTCTGTAGTTCTCCTCTTGCCCACCTGATAAGAGACAGCAACCATGAAAATACAGCCCAGTCACAACTGTCTCCTTGGCAGCTCCACCCACTGGGCAAGATTCAATACCATCTCCTATACCACCTGATCAACAGTAGACAGCAGCCAACACCAGCCAACCCCACCCTAAAGTGAGTTGCAGGAATGGAGAACAGTGTACACACATCCATTCTCTACCCACATCTACAGGAGACAGTTGGGAGAACACATCAACACACAGTCATCAATTTTATATACAAATATAACACCACAAAAGGAGCTCTGGAAACGTAGTGGTTACAAATCTGGCTGTGAACCACAAGGTCAGCAGTTTGAAACTACCAGCTGTTCTATGGGAGAAAGATGAGGCTTTCTGCTCCCGTAAAGATTTACAGCCTTGGAAACCCTCAGTTTCCAAGACTGTAAATGGAACCGACTCCATGGCACATAACAACAATAACATAACACCACAATGTCCAAGAAATAAATTTAGCTCATACAAAGAAACAAGAGAGAATGACTCAAACAAATGACCAAGAATCAGAGTCAGAAAATGTTTCTGAGGAAGAACACGTAATGGAACTAACTGAAAAATAATTCAAAAAATGCTATTTAGATACCTTCAATGGAATGACAGAAAGACCAAAAAAAGCAAGGAGAATACAGAAAAAACAAGTAGAATTCAAGGAAACACTACAAAAATAAAATGTAAATGATATTGCAAAATAATGCAAAATCTAAAATGAGAAGTCCAGAAAATTAATACTAAGATTTCAGAAATGGACAATAAATCAAAAGGGTAAAGGAGTAGATTCGAAACAACGGAAGCCTAAATTAGTAAGCCTGAAGATAAATCTGTCACTTCTAATATGCTACAAGAATAATCAGAAAAAAAGAACGAAAAACATCTGAAGAAAGCCTAAGAGTTACGTGGACACCATGACAAGGAATGACTTACAGGTGATCAGAATTCTAGAACAGAAAAAGACAATAATAAAAAGCACAGAGAAAGCTGAAGATTTGTTGCAAGATAACTTCATTAACATCAGGAAAAATGAGAAGACAAACATATAAGATGCAGAATGAATCCCAAACAGGATAAATTCCAAAAGAAAATCACAAAACCCTAACATAATCAAAATTTCTAAAACTAAAAACAAGAAAAGGATTCTGAAAGAAGCTTAGGAAAAATTTAGTTACTATAAAGAAGAAACAGTAAGACTGAGTTGATGTCTCAGCAGAAACCATGTAGGTAAGATGATAATGGAATGACATGATCAAAACTCTGAAAGAAAAAAAACTGCCAACTAAGAATCATATCCCTAGCAAAACTGTCCCTCAAATACAATTGTAAAATTAGGGTATGTCCAGAGAAACAGAAATTAAAGGAATTTGTAATATCCAGATCAACTTTACCAAAAATATTGACGGATCTTCTTTGGACTGAGAACAACAACAGTAGACAACATCCTGACAGTAACATTCATGAAAACACCACTCAGAAACCCATCCATATACAAAAGTAGTTAAAGTAAAACAAATCTACAAAACCTAAACTAGGAAATCAGAGACATCAATTTATAATGAAGTCAACTACAAAACAACAGGAGAGAATAGTGTAGATACAGAATTTCCAAATGATGAAGAATTCAAGTAAATGACAAGAAAAAACTGTTTTAAATAGGGGGAAAATTATAAATTACAGAGTAAACACAAAAGAATATTAACAAACCTTAAAATCAAAATAAAAAAGAGGAAAATCATAAATTCAGTGAACAGTAATACACAAGAATGATGAGAAACCCCACAAACAAAATGGACTCAGCAAACAAACCAGCAGCATCACAATGAATGCACAGGAAAATGATAGCAATCAGTTCATACCTATTGATAACCACACTGAATGTAAATGGATTCAATGCACCAGCCAAGAGACAGAAAGTAGCAGAATAGATAGGAAAACAGGATTCTTCAATATGCTGGCTACAAGAGCCATACCAAAAAGATGAAGACAACCTAAATGTCTAGCAATAGAAGTATGGTTAAACAAACACATATAACATTAAGAATAATGATGAATCTGTAAATCCCCACACAACATGATGAACCTGGAGGACAATGAAAGTGAAAGTCAATCACAGAAGGACAAATACTATATGATATCAATGTTGTAAAAAATTATGAGATTTTCTTCATAAAAGAAACATTCCATGATGTTACAAGAGGTGAGGTGGGTCTCGAGGGTAAACACATTTTAACATGGGTGTTGTGGCAGGTAATATACAGTAACAGGAGAGGTAGCAGGAGACACAAGAAGGAATGCAAGAGACAAAGTGTATAGAGGTAAATACCATTAACTGATTGTACATGGAGGGGACTGCAATCATTGCAATGAAGCAAAGTAAATGATTTGTTGGATGTAAAACTGATGATCTGCTCTGTAACCCTTCACTCAATTCACAATAAAAAGTTTTTTGAAAAACTAGGTACAGTCAATTTAAGTTTTAAAATTTTTCTCTAGATTCTAAATGACTGTCTTGAACTGCAACTAAACAGGTAAACCATACTAGGTAAAGAACTGATTTTGCTTATACTGGAGCATAAAAATACTGTATACTACCAAAATCCAAAAGGCATGAGATTTCAATTATATAGAATTTTATATAAAATATATCTTATAATAGGTATACTACAAACATTTTATAACACATTTAGCTATGCATATTTAGAA